AACCATCCCTTTGGTTTCACAGCAGCATGTGTATGTGCATCCAGAGATGTCCAGAGGGTCCTGTTCTGCCCATCCTTCACCTGGCTAATACATTGCAATGTCTCTGTTCCCCCACCACCCTGCTTCTCTTTCCAAAGCCTAGAAGCAAATTGAACTTTAGGAATGCAGCGGGTCTCAGATGAGGCAAGCACTGTTACAGGGTGGCATATCCTGCAGGGTAAGTAGTGAAAGGAACAGGTTTTCTGTGGTTATCATAACACTCTATTTATTAATCTCAGCACTGTTTTGCACACCACTGAGATATCTTCCCTTTTGCTGTCGGTTCTGTCTCTCTCTCTATCTCCTTGCAGGTCTGAAGTGTGTGTGCAGCAACTGTGGGAGTAATCTGGCTTCTTCCATAGCTAGGGAAATATGAGGAAAAGCTCTGGTTATCTGGTAGTTGGGCTGTTTAGTTCTTGGTGGGTTTATGGGCTAGAAATTGAGCATTGCAGGGTGACAGGGATTCCTTTGGTGCTACGGACAACAGTGGCACAGCTTGGAATATCCTCAAATAAGGAACTTCATGTGTCTGTGATGCTGTTTCTCTTCCTTATTTTCCAGGAATAGCTGGTTAAGTAAAGTAGTTGTGCCTGTGGCAAGTTTTCTTGAAGACAGTGAAATTGAGTGGTTATGGCTTGGTGTGTGGGTTTAAAATGTCAGGACATATCAAGTACTCCATTTCCCTGCCTGTAAAATGATGCCTTGCTCTGTAGCTCAGCAATGAAATGTTTGCCTACAAGACAGGTAAGAGCTGCCAGGTCCAGGAAGGGACAAACAGGCACTGTTCCATTTCTTCTAACAATGATGTCATCCTGACTGCTAAAACCACAGTTCTTATCTTTCAGCTGCCAGACAGGGAAACCAGTACACAGTATGGAAGTTTTTGACTCCTCAATGACTGATGGTTTTTTGCAGTTTCTGCTTCAAAGACTTTAATTCACTCCTAACTCTAATGTGAGACAGAAAGATAAGTATCTTGACAACTCACACAATTGATCCTTTGACTTGATAATGTGACTGTCCAGGTGTTTGTAAGGGAGGTGTCTTGGAATCCAGACAAGTTGTTAAAGGAGACAGTCCTACAGGCGTGTGGCTTTCCTGCAGGAAAGAGAATGTTTTCATAACCAGACAGTGTCTGATACAGCTGAGAATAGTAATTCACAGGCTGAGCTGTGAGGAGAGGCCAAGGGTCTGAGGGGAAGTGATGGCAAGCAGAGACATTATTTGTGGGGTGGATTCTTTTCTGAGCTGTCTTGAAGATGTAGCAGAAGCGTGGAGAAGAGATGAAAGCTGATTTGTAGGGTGGCTTAGCAGTGTTGCTGTAGGGATTCTGGGACCTACTCCTGTTCTGGCAGCCCTGAGAGCTGTTGAGTGTCCCCCCACACGCTCCCTGCCGATCCTTGCAGCCAGCAGGAAGCTGCTGCTGACACGCCTGAGGTGCCTGAGAGCAGCAGAACCCCTCGCTGGGTTTAGAGCAGGTGATACTTTGCCTGCTTTGCAGCTCTGGTGTTTCCATGTGTAGCTTCCCACCTGGGAAGATGAAGTGAGTGCTTGCAGTGCTTGCCCTTGAGATGTCCGTGGCCGTGGTTATGGCAGGGAGCACCGAGTGTGGTCTCTGTCCAGCACGACGATGGCCAGTGCTGCCTCTTTCCCCAGGGTGGCAAGGCACCGTCAGCAAGGGCTGTGGGAGAAGTGCAGTACAGCATACAAGGCTTTTCCCTTGGCTTAGCCCTCACTGCCTGATGCAGGAGAAGATGCAGGTGTGGAAGAGAGGAAATTGTCTTGCAGTCCTGCCTCTCCCTTTCCTCTGCCCTGCAAAATTGCAGTTCTGTCTCTCCTTAAAGCCCAGAGTCAGGGGCTTCTGATCCTGCCTGCTCTTGCCACCTCCTCACTGGTGGGCTGCAGATGGGAACAGTTGCTCTGGTGAGTTCCTTGTGAGATTTAAAGGATGATATAAGGATAATTTGGGGATGAGAGGGAGAAACAGAAGGTGGGACACCAGACTTGAACAACCTGTGTTGTTGGAGGGCAGTATGTACTGAGGGTGTACTCAGCCCCATCTAAAGAGTCGTGGTTGCCTTGGGGGAAGCCTTGGAGACTTGATTTGTGGGAAGCATCCATGGGATTCACTTGTGAAAACTGGCATGTGTGTGGGTGGAAGGAGGTCTGTCCTTCTGTGCTGACAAGTGGCTGGTGGATGTGCTTCTCTGACTGTAATTATATTTAATTCACAAATGCCTCTCCAGTCTCCTGCATCCCAATACAATGTTGAATTGGAATGAACATCCCTACACTGACTCTGTAGAACTGATTTAAGGGTCCTAAACTTGTGTTTGCAGTACCCCCTTCATTTTTTTTCTGAGTAAGAGATAAAGAACTGGTCCAAAAAAAATGGTTGTAATCTTATCTGTTGAATCTATTCAAGGCATCTAGTGGTTTCTCAGAGGCAGCTGTTAACACATAAAGCTCATTTGTCTAATGAGTGAATTGAAAGTGAGAAAATGAATAATGTATTAAAATTAATTGGTATTTCAATTAAATTTTGTGAAATTTCATTTCCAGGCTTTCAGCAGCCCTAAAGCAGCCTTAGCAAATAATCTAGTTTTATTCTGAATGTGAATGCAGATGGGGTTTGTAGCCTTTATCCATCTTTTCTCATTCTTCAGCTAAAGATTCCTTTTACCCAGTTTAAAGAAACCTTTTTCCATCCACCAGAAATGGTCTTAGGCTGGATCTAAAACTACCAGGCTTCCAAAGTCTTAATGATTAAAATCTTCAGGTGGCATCAACATGATTGCATTTGACTGTTTGGTGTTTGCTCTTTAGGGGTCCATGGGGTTTTGGCTTTTTTTTTTTTTTTGAGAGTCCATTAAGGAATTTGACTTCTCAGGAGGAACATTGAGACTATCCAAGCCCTTTATGTTGATTCAAAGTAATTATGTAAAACTTGAGGCTTGTGGAATTAGTAATTAATTAAATAAAAAATAATTGGCCCTGGATTGCAGTAATAGGAAGCCATTTTGTGGTGTGGGAGAAATCCTTTTTCCTCCTCTCTGGCCACCCAAGCAGAACTTTGCTAGCCCAGGGCAGGAACCCTTCAGGGGCTTTGACTGCCTGGGTGGTCAGTCTTTGATTTAGGAAATTCAGTTCATGAAATTACCATATTCAAGCTTCCTTGTCTCATTTTTTTGCCATACAAGTACTTTGGAGTGTGGTGGAATTTTTCATTGTTCTTTTTTTTGTTTTACTTCTGCTCATGTGCAGGAGAGGACAAAACTCCAGTTTGCAACTACTATGGGTGACTTTTTTTTTAATGTCTCTATTTCTGTGGACTTTGCCCAGAGCTGAGATGATCCCTGAGGGGAGGGAAGAACCACACACGTTGTAGGTCTCTCCTCCCTGCACTGAGGTCTTGTCAAGGTGTTCTACCTGTGCAGGGCACCCAGCACTCAGGGAGGACTTTTTTTTTTGCTCTAATCAGCATGTGAGCATCTGCCTCTTTCTGAAAATCATAAGTGCTTTCAAAACACAGTATTTGAATCTGTAGAGACAGACAGGCACCTTTCCTGCACACTTCCAGGAACTGATGTGTGGAACATGCCCGGGCTTGAGCTCCTCTCGCAGCTTCTTATCAGTAAAGTGAGCTGGTGTGGATGGTGCAGAGGCTCGTGCCAAGCTGCTGTTCCCCGCCTTTCTGGGCCTGGCTTTGTGGGCATGCCCAGAATAAACCTGTGCTGCTTTGTTTGACTTGTATTTTCTGCTTTGGGAATGGAGCAGTGTGCTGCTTTTCCTTTCCAGACTGGAGCGGTCCGTGCCTCTTCTTTTAAAGCAGGGAGTGGGAAAAGACAATAGTGTGTCTCCTTTTGGTGGCCTCTTCCCATGGGTGTTCAGACTGAACCAAATGAGTTTCCTGCCAGTATGAAACAGTGTGAAAAAAAATGTAGGGGATCTGGGTGTTAAAGCCACATTCTGAGCTTACCTTGGAAAGATGTGTCAGGTGGCAAACCCCCAAGGAAGCATCTTGACTTCAATTTCTATTCCGTCCTCTTGCTGTAAGAAAAGCTTACATTGGTCCCTCTATAGGATGATATTTTATTTAGTCCATTTATCACCATCTGTCGATGCTCAGCTCTCCCTCCAGCAATTTACAGGAATTCTCAACAATGAGAAAAAGTAGGTCACCCCAGCACCGTTGGGCTGCGTTTGGCGGGGAGAGCTCTGGCTGTAGGGCTTTGGTGAGTGAGGAATCTCATTGGTGCTGGTCAGTCAGGCAGCCTCACCAGCACATCTGGCCATTTATGTGCAGCTTGCAGCTGGAGTGGCTTGTGTTGCATCACTTCTGCCAGAAGCCTGGGAGAACATCTGCCCCTCCACGACGGAGGGTGGTGTGATCAGAGGGTGGTGCAGCTTCTTGAAAAGATGGGCAGCTCTCTTCAGTTTATATTTGTGTTATAAAGTCAGCTGGCTGCTCCCAGCCCAAATTAGCCAGCATGGGTTTGTCTGATCAGCTGTGGAGTCCTGCTGTGGTGCCACAGGAAGCTTTTGGCACAGGCTAGGGCTGGGTGGGGATGGCAGTGCTGATATTGCTGTGATGAATGGGGTTTTCCAAGCAAATGGGATGTGGGCAGAGGAGGCTTGGTACTACTTCAGGCTTCCTGTGGTCTAAGCCATGATGCTTCAGGAAGTAGTGTTTAACTCAAGAGGAGTTAATAGCAGAGGATATCCACTGTTTGCCAGTTGTAACACAGACACCTTGGTTTTGGTCTGAATTACTTTGAATTGAAAATAAATGCTATCTATAAAACCAGAATATGTGCAAGCTGAGGCTTTACTTAACCTACAAAAATATTGCTGGTGTGGATAATTCCTGAGGAGTTTGCACAAAGCCAAAGTCCTGCCACAGACTTCATGCTAAATCCCCACTTTCCTCTTCATCCCAGAGTTCTGTTTCCAGTTCTCTAACCTGAATTAATGTCTGTCTCTCCTCCAGCAAAGTCAAACCCAGAAGAAGGGTCACTTCTGACCTGTTTCAGAACTCTGTCACGTCCCAGAGAAGAGGACAGAGGGGACTGCACTCTCCCCAGCCAGCACTCTTTAGGGTAGAGGTGAGTAGCAGCAATGGGGGTTTGAATGGAACAGAGGGAAATACAAAGCAGCAAAGGCTTAAGCCTGTGCTTTAGCCATTAGTCTGACATAACAACTCTGAAAAGAAGGGCTCGTGGTTAATACAGTGCCTGTGGGCTATTGTGTGTTTTAGATGTATTTGAGATTGTGTTTTGCCCTTGGACTTTTAAGAGCCTTTAAAAGGTTGGGCAGGTCTCTTGAAATATTACTGTGGTTTGCTTCAGAGGTTGAATTAATTTCTGCTTTCACTTCCTCCTTCTTCTCTACCAGCACACTTAGTTATTTAAAACACAATTACGAGAGGTTGTTACTGTGAAACGGGATCATTCATCACTAGCCCAGGTTAGCAGGCCATCTGGGCTCCTTAGTGCTTTCCCCCCGTTTTTGGCATTTGGTGGGAGGTACTGAAAGGAGCCTGAGTATCCACATGTATCTCTGGCGTGGGGGACAGGGGGAGGCACACTTGAGACCCTGCAGGTGTGCAGTGCTGTCAGCTGGGTGTTTCACTACAGACTGTGCTGTGCACAGAGCCAAGCAGCTCACCTGCTCTCAGTAGGTGCTCAAATTCCTCTCTGGTAACACTGCTCTCCATTCCAGCCTCTGGCACTGTGTGAGGGTTGTCCCTCTCCTCCCCAGCACCACCTTGGCTTTAAAGCCTCACTTGTAGGTAATGTCACTCCAGTGTCTGGCACGTGTCTGTGGCAGGAAGGAGTTTCATGCCCCTTGCTCACATTCACATGCCCTTCTCACTGAGGCAGCTGTGGATTTCTCAGCCCTTTTTCATGACTGCCAGCTTTCCAGAAATATGGATGTGCATCACTGAAAAGGTCATTTTCTGCGAGACATGGCCAGATACACGAGCACTGCTGCAAGATGTGGATTTATGGAATTATTTTTTTTTCTTTCACACTCTTCTTACTCTTTTGTAGGACAAGGAGTTCTGGTCTGAAGCAGAGGGTGACAGGAGCTGCTCTGTCTCTCAATCAATCATGCAACAGGTTAGAGTCAAGCATGGCTGAAGTCAGCTGTTTGCAGTGACCAGTGGTTCTCTTGTGCACGAGTGTTGGCTCATGTCCTTCTCATGTTTCTCAGAGTTCCTGCAGGGGCCCTGACACTGCTCTGAGCACAGAGGAGTGGATGGAACTGTGTAGTTTGCAAGCTGCTTCCTTGTTATCTCTCTGTGGCACTCCCCCTTGAAACTGCAGGCTGGAGATGTAGCTATGTAAGAGACTACAATGTTTATTGATAACGCTACAAACTGCTAAAACTAATAAATCAAATTAATAGGCACAGCACTGTGATCAATTTATTGCATTGTTTTGTGCAACCTTAAACACAATTATGAAGGTGCTATTTTTCACACTTAAATCTGATTAACTACATTGAACTGTTACTGAAATGTCTTGTCATCCTCCCCCACCCCAGCTTGTATTAGGATACATTTCTAACCCTCTGCTCTGCCCTCCCACAAGCCTTTTAAACACAGTGTGATAGAAAGTTTGCTTGGCTCTGCACGAGGAGCTGAACAGGTTTATTATGGAGCTACTTGAGGTTCCTTTGAAGGGGGAGAAGAAATGTGAACCTTGGGTTTTTTTGCAGGCTTATGCTATCTGCTATCTCTGTTTCCCACCTTGTTACTGCTCTGCTCTGATTACATTGAAGTGGGGAGCTGCTGCCTTCTTTATGCACAGGAAGTACAATGCCCAGTGCCCAAAGAGAGGGGTAAAACCCTTCCAAACAGAGATGTCTGAGTGGGGGAAGTGGATGGTTTTTGCTGCATACGCTTGTGTTTCAGAGGAGGAGCTCAGATCAGGGTTGCTGTCACTGCCACAGCTGGGAGTGTGAGGAGAAGGTGAGCTGGCTCTTCGACCACCAGTTGGTAAGAGCAGAGCCATCTGTCATTCAGTGTGGGACAGTTGAGTGCGGGTACACATCCAGGAGTTAGCATGCATTTGCTGAAATCTTGCTAATGCTACTCAGGATGCCCAAAGGAGGCCACAGAGACATGCTCAGGGTTGGAAAACAGCGTGTGTGCAGAGCTTTTGAGTGGGACATGGGCTTGACAGTGATTTCCTAACATTTCCGATCAACGGCTCTCTCCAGATGGAGCATGCCCTGCTGTACACCTTCCTGGAGGCATCCTCTGACTGCCAGTTCAAAGAGCAGCTGTGGTCCCTGGCACCTGTGTGTAACCAAGGGCCGATTGTGCCTCGTCGCCAAGGGGGGATTGATGGTTACCAGGGGAGGACTGTGCATTACCGAGGGTGGCTTGTGCCCCGGAGCCAAGGACCTGACGATGACTCTGAACTCCAGTGTGACGGCAACCGGAGCGGCCACCTGGAGAACGGAGAGCTAGGTGAGTGTGCATTCCTCCATCCCAAATGTCTGTCTGAACGTGGTGTTTTTCTTTCCCCCTTTCCTGTCTTGGCTGTTGACTGTTTCAGAGGGAGTAGTGTTTTCTCCACTGAGAAACTTCACAGTGTGGCTGTCGGTTGGGAGTTTAGCACTTGGGGATAAGACAGACTTTATCTGTCCATGGATTTCTAGAGCACCCATAACCCCAGGGTTTTGTCTGCAGCACACGGGACAAGGGCACAAAGCTGGTTCTCATGATAGCTGTCCTCAAGGAATGTGATATAAAAGCAGTTAATTGGGCCACTTGCTGCTCCTCAGGCAGTGACTGGGGCTGGGATCTTGGAACAAATCGTGTTCTGGTACTGGGTGAATCCCTTTCTGCTCCACCACTGTGGTGGAAACTGTTCCTCACTCAAAAGGTTTCTGGTCCTTTTCCTGCTTCACTAGCCATCTGCAGGGTGGCTACTGCCCTTTGCCCAGGGTGTGCCAGCTGGCACATTGACCTCAACCAGGGTGAGGAGGAAGTGCTGCAGTAAATAGACCCCCCTTGTACAAATTTGTGTAGGTCTCATGCCAGAAGTGACTGTGGGAAGCTTTGCCTGAAGGAGATTGAACAAGGTGTAATGGTTTTAAACTGAAATAGGGCAGATTCACACTAGATATAAGGAAGATTTTTACAACAAGGGTGGAGAAACACTGGCACGGGCTGCCCACTGGCAGTGGTGGATGCCCCATCCCTGGAAACTTTTAAGGCTGGCTGGGGCTCTGAGGAACCCAATCTCATTGAAGATGTCCCTGCTCATTTCAGGGGGTTTGGACAAGATGGCCTTTCAAGGTCCCTCCCAACTCAAACTGTTCCATGAGATGCTCCATTTTAGATGGTGCTTAAGAGACAAGTCATGACAACAGTCACTTCAATAAATCCTAGGATCATTTAGGGTGGAAAAGACTTTTAAGGTCATGCACAGTTTCTCAATTCCCCTCTCTGGACAGGATGTAGCCATTGCTGTTCTGTTGAGATTTTGGCTGGAGATGTTCTAATATCCCCTGTAGTGATTTTTTTTGACTGCACTTTATCTAAACCATAGATAAAAAACCTGTTTGTGCACTGTCTCTGTGAAGCAACTTGGGTTCACGTAAAGGAGTTGTGTTTAGAGCTGTCATGAATACACCATGAGAAGGTGGTTGCTAATGGAGATGAGCAAAATGCTGTGGGTCAGTTTACCTGCACTGAACCTGGTCTGGCTGCAGCCTGTGGACTAAATCCTGCTCCGTGTTGGCAGAGGCTGACGCTCCAACAAACGAAGACGTTATCCGGATCATCGCTGCTCAGCTCGCTGAGATTGGAGACAAGCTGGACAAAGATGTCCAAGGAAATGTAGTAAATGATCTAGTGCAGCACTTTCTGAATGAGAATCTCTCCAGAGAGGTGAGTGAAAAGCCACCTGGCTAGCAGTTCCCCTTTTGAATGTTGTGCGTCCTTCCTGCTGTGACTTTGAAAACAGCAAGCTTGAGACTTCTGTATCTTTGCTATTTTGCTGATTTAATTCTTGCCATCTTAAAATTCAACCCAAACACTTACATTTGGAGATTTGTTAGAGGTGATTCTGTAGCCTGTGGCAGAAGTTACTGTGTAAATTTGGTTCCTTGGGCTCATCTCCTTTCTGCAGATGCTGTAATTACAGCTGTGGGTAGTTGTGGAAAAGGACTGACTTTCAGAGGCATTTTGTCCTTGTTCTGTTGGCCCAGTGACTTACCTTTGAAAATTAACTGTCTGGTTAAGGCTTAGTATTTGTCCTTAAGATCTTTGGACTTTGGTGCCAAGTCCTGTGTGCCTGCTGATTGTCATGTGGGTAAAACAAGCAGGTTAGTGCCAGAAGCTTGACTTGTGCTTGTTACTGAACACTGAAGAGACAGCAAGTCATGAGACCCTTTTTTAGTGCCATAACTGCTCAGTGCTGGGAGCAGCAGTGGATTTTGGCCTGGATGGGTGACCTGCTGGGGTGGCCTCTCCAGGTGGCCTCTCCCTCTTTGATGCAGTTGGCCCAGCATCTAACATGCCTTGCTGCTCTGCAAGGGAAATAGAGTTGAAAGTCTCTTGTGTTAAAAAGGAAAAAGAAGGATGTCTAAGGATTAGTTCCACATCTGGACCAAGGGCCATAGTTTGCTTCCACAGAGCCTTCTTGGCATCTTCAAGGTAACTGTGGCTTTCTGGCTTGTTTGGCTTTCTCTGTCTGTGTTGAAGTTTTCTATGCTCTACAAGCCAATGTAGAACTGCGGACCCACCTTCTTGCCAAAAAGTCAGGATTTAATAACTTTAACCAATCCTTTTGTTTGGTTGGTTTTTTTGTGATGTGGGGTTTTCTACTAGGGTTTATCACTACACAGATTCCAGCAAAGTCTGACCATTCCTCATTCCTGCTGCCTTGCTCTCCACCCAGTTACGTTTCAGATCTTCAAATTTATTGCCTAACCTTTTAGTCTTTGATAAGACTGAGATATAAACCTAGTTGCTGACCTTGTTTTTTCACATTAGTAATATAGCTTAGTGTGTGCATATTGTTCTGTCTTGGGAAAACTGATCTTCCACTGACCTTGGGAGCAAGGCTTGGACACCTTCACTAGCTCTTCCTTATGTGAAGGCTTTTCTGTGAAACTTCCTCTGCCTTTTTCCAGTCCCTACCTAAGCTTGTACCCCAGATCTACGCTGGGTGGATTGTCCTTTCCTGGGAGCCCCAGAATTCCTTTACCATTTCAGGACTTGACAGGCTCAGTGCAAACCCTGGGGAGGAGGGGGCTGTTGCATCCTAAGTGTGTAAGGTGCTGTCTAAATTTTCCCGTGGTGGTGTGCTGCCTCCCTTTTGTTTTATCTTGGGTGAGCAGCTGAGCTCAGAGAGAGTGATCCTTGCTGTCATTCAGGGTATGTAGCAGGCAGGCTGCCCTGCCTGGGAGGAAGGGGAGGGACATCCTGTGGATGCTGAAAGAAGCACATCAGTTACCAGCAGTCCTGGCAGGCTGTGCTGAGACCCCTTTCTCCCCCAGCTGTTGCACTGAGATCCCTCTCCTCCCTCCATACAGGAGATAATGCGGCACATGTCAAGGGTAGTGAGAGAGCTTGCACAAGCCATCCCCGCAGACATGGAACAGGAGAGGGTCATGTTGGTGCTAGCAATGGTCTTGACTAAGAAAATTGTGAATACAGTGCCCTCCCTTCTACACCGTGCCTTCAGCGTCACTGTGGACTTCATGAACCAGCAGTTCCACAACTACATTGATGGAATGGTGAGTGCTGTCAAACAGCTCGGTGCGATCACAGCCGGCCTCTCTGCTGCCCTCCTGGCTGGCCTGGGTTATTCCCAGAGGGGTGGCCTAGCTCTGAACTGCCTGTGGTGTGCTGGGCTCCCTGAAGTGCTCTGGAAGTCAGGAGGAAACGTCAGTCTCTAAAGATCGGTGTGCTTGAGGGGGGTCACAGCTTCTGCTTGCCCCCTTCTGACAGTAGCCAGGGAACAGAGAGCTGTGACTGCTCCTCTCCTCCCTGCAGTCTCTTCAGGGAGCTGTGCCAGTAAGACTGGGGTTAATCGTGCCCTAAAAGCCTGACCTGAGCTCTGATGGCTGTATATCCTGAATGTCTTGATCCTGAGCTCTCTGCTCTTGACTTCCTTGGCTCCCCAGAGCTTGGCAGAACTGGAAGGGGAAAGGGATTGTCCCTGAGAAACAACCCTAGGAGAGCAACAATGAGAAATGGTCAGATCTGGTTTTGTTCACTGTTGGAGCTTCAGCATAGGTGGATTCTGTGCAGCTCATGGGCAAGGTGGGGTAGAGGCCGGGGCTTCAGCTGTCTGGGAAGGGGAGAGGACACACACATGTAGTGAGATGTGGCAGTACCCAAGAATGAGTCTGAGTGGTCAGAGCTGTGATCCTGCCACTCTGTGACAGTGCTGACACAGCTGTGGGGAGCTGCAGGTCCGTGGGACACCCCTGTGCTGCAGGCTTGCCATGGGCAGCACTGGCAGCCACCTGCAGAGGGGCTGGGCTCACCCTGTGTCCCAGGACTCAGCACCCTGTTCCCTTCCAGGCAGCAGGGCACGGTGTCACTGTGCAATGTCACTTGGCACTGCCCTTCCCTTCACTCAGTTTGGCTCCAGAGCGCTGAGTTATCCCAGAAATGGGTCACTCGTGTGGGACAGGCCCTTCCTGCTGCCCCAGCTGGCTCCGAGCACTGAGCAGCTGCTGGTTATCCCACCCCAGGAGGTGCCATCAGGAGCGGGCTGGAGCCGGGCGCCAGGGGCTGTCCCACGCTGTTCCCCCGGGATGCCTCCCTGCCGCTGCACGGAAGGGGGTGATGGCAGCCGCGGAGGCTCGGCAGGGGGCAGTGTCGGGGCGCGGTTCGCGGCACTGGGGACGCCCAGAGGTCCCCGGGAGCTGCCGGGCTCCTGGGCTGGGTGGGCTCGGGGCTTGCCGCGGGGGGTGGCTCTGCTGCTGTTAATGCCCGTTCTGTTTCTCTCCCTCCAGCTGGGTGAGTGAGCTCTCCTGCCCTCCACGTGGAGAACACGGATTCTAGAAGACAACTTTTCTTGGTGTTTGCTTTTTAACTTCTGAGATACTGTGGAAGTGTCTCAGTATCTCCCACAGCTGTGAAAGGGATGGCAGAGCTCCATAGATAGGTTTTTGTAGATTAGCACAGCTCTGCCAGTACCTGCAGGGAGAAGTGCTTGCCCTTTATAATTTTAGGATTTTTTTTCAGTTTTTTTTTTTTTTAGCAATAGCAGAGTTTGTGCAGACCCTGGCTTATACCTTCAGAGGCCCAGTGGGGGCAGGGCCTGCACCCTCAGTGTTTTTTCTAATCAGCTGCAGCATTTTGCTTTAGTTATTCGCTTGCCAGCCCTGCTCTTGCAGCTGAGCCGTGCTGAGTGCTGCTCCCTGGAAGGCCTCAGGCTGTGAAATGGATGGTTGATCAGTACAGATCACAAGTCATCTGTGGGGTGGATGGGAATCAGGCCTACCTTGATGGGGAGCTGGCAGCAAGAGAGAACAGAGCCCATAAGGACGGAGGGGTGTTTGGCCTGGTAAAGATACTTTAGTATCAATCACCATCCACCTGTGTTTGTTTGAAAAACAAAACTGATGGAGTAACTGTAAAGAAAAAGGCAGGAGTAGGCACAGGGCAAGTTTTTTTGATAATGCAACCTGGATATGCTTGAGAAAAAGTGATATATCTAGTAATCACATCTCAGGTTCAACAAACTTGGACTCAGGTTGTTCGACACATAATCACACGAGGTGGCAAACGTGTCACCTGTGATCCAGCTGCCTCATGAGTTTTGAAAGTTTGTAAATATTTTATGGGCTTTCTTAAATAAAAATGTCATTTCTGGTGGCACTATGGCTCGTAACAATTTCAATTTCCACCTGGATTTTTTTGGTGCTGTCAATTTTTTGTTCAAGTACTCGTGGCATTCCTCTGATTTACCAAGGCTTACGATGCAGCTGGCAGCAGTAGAGACACTCTGGTCCTGTCCTTGTGCCTTGCATGAGCAAATTTTATGTAAGTAAAAGCATCTTTTCTTTTGGTGCCTGCACTAAAACAGGGAGAGGGGGAAGCACAGAAGTAGTCTACACATTGTTCTTGAAAACTGTACCATTTATTAAAGTGCAACCTGGGGGCATGGATCTTACAGCAGTGTCCCATTAGCAGAGGGAAAAAATGTACATACCCCTTCACTTCAACTGACTATAGAACAATGAAGCTGGGAAGAACTTTCTTTTAAAGGTGGAAACACTTTTATTAACCAAATGGCACAAGAAGCTTTAGACAGTTTTCCCCAAGAGGGCTGCACTTGCATATTAGAAGGAACAGTATGACGAGTTCCTGGGATAATGGGTGACTTGAGGACCAGTCAGGGTCTCTTCCCCCAGGCAGGCCTCTTGAGAACAGAATCCGAAATCCCTGCAAGTCTGTCACTATTTGCTTACACCCAGCAGAAGCCTAGTAGAAGATATCCCCTAACATGCAGCTTTAGTCAGTCCCATTAGTCTTTGCTACTTAACAAATCAAGTCCCATTAGTCTTTGCTACTTAACAAATCAAGTGGCATTCTTTTGGTCTGAGTTTGAATAAAAGCTTATACTGCAAGTATAAGCTGCTTATACTGCTTATACTGCAAGTTAAAAATGGGGACAGACCCCCTAAAGGTATAGCAGTAAGATGCATCCTCTGCAGCTTGTTCTGTCCACATTGATAGTGTTCCTTCCCTCCCCTGCAGATACTGCAGGGAGATCAAAGGCAGCTTCCACTGGAAGCCAACAGGAGCTCCCCCACTTCTACAGCATGACCATAGACCTCTGGCTTGGAGGAAGCAAGTCACCTACCCAAGAGACCAAGAGAGGGTCAGCTCTAAGTAGGAAAAAAAAGTGATAAGTTATTTAACTTAAGGAAGTGGATCTGGGTAATGATGTGTTTGTGGTTCCCCTGGACTTTACACTGCAGCTGACCCCTCTGAGCTGGTGCCATTCCCCAGCCAAGGACTGGGCAGGAGAGTTCACTCTTGTCAGACACAAACTGAATTCCCTGCTCCTCTGGGCCTGAGAGCTCAATCTGCTGGAGTCAAGTAGTGGTGGCTTAAATTTTATAAACACCCCCTTTTTTGTTATGGCAATACAGAGCTTGCAGTTTGAAGCACAGGTACATACATGGAGTCAAAGCAATACTGTTCTTGTAACCTCCCTAGTGCTGAAATTAAGCAGACCAAGCCAAATTAAAATCATGCACAGCTTCTGCCTTCACTTGGTACAGGAGATATTGTGCCTCACCTCTCCATGTTTCACTGGGAAACACTTTCTCCTGTTGTGCTTCAGCCTGAGCAGACACAAACAGAGCCTGGGATAAAACATTCTCCTGAAGCCTTGGGCATTCTGAAGCCCCTCAGGCATTGCAGCTGGGCTGTGTTCACCTCTCCACCCCACACCCCCCCATTTCACAGCAAAGGAACCTCATAATTACACTCTCAAATTCTGTAACAGGAGCTTGCTCTGGCTTAGGGAGCACGATGCTGCCAGAAGCACTTCTAGTTTTTTCTGCCAAAATAGCAAGATCTACCTTCCTAGGGCCTTCCTAGTACTGCCATATCACTGTAGCTGAAATTAAATACCAGGAAGGTTTATGAGCTCAGATTATTTTATCTACTACAGTCATTAAAATGAAAAAAGACCAAACTTGAGAACCTTGCTTGTGACCCTTAGAAAGCATTGATTAGTTAAAAAATCCAGTCCAGAGTGTTAGGCTGGCTGTGATCAATGCTGTGTGAAAAGGAAGGAAGCAGGATTCTGGCAGCAGAACTTATCCTGTCTAAGAGCACTCAGCACTGCAGCTTTCACCTGGCCCTCCAGCTGCAGATGCCTGAGTGCAGCTTCCAGCCAGGAAGAAAAATCAAGCCCTCACAAACAGCACGGATGGATTCCTTAGTACTAACCTGCTCTCCAGAAGGCATGTTAGGAAAGAAACAACCAACTGCAAACACCACCACAACAGGCACTTCACCTCCAGCCAGAATCTAAACTGGTGTCCAAAAGCAGGTGCAATACTGAACAGAGACCACGCTCCCGCTGCATCATCCGGCTCTGTGCCAGGAGCTTCTGTTTGGACTGGTGAGTACCTGGAGCAGCAGCAGCTGCTCCAAGATTCACATCTTAATGGACAGAAGGCTGCAGAAGTGCTGCTTTCTTGGCTCCAGATTGTTGGGCCAGCCCTAGCATCTTAGATTGTTATTTTCTGTAGTTTTCAGCAGCCAAATTACCACCCTGAGAACCCCTCTCAGCACCCACCCAGGCAAGTGAAAACCAAAACCTTAAGTATTCAAGCTGCCTCTCTCTCTCTGCCCAGTAATATTCCTGTTTTGGCCAGCTGAACAGCTCAGTACTGTCGTGTTGCCCCACCTCCAGCCCCACAGCTGGATTTTGTGAAGGTTAAGGGAGTCCACCAGGCTCCACCCCACACAGGGCAGCTACAACAGGCAGGGATGTGGCTCTGTGTCTGCACTTTGGGCTTTTGGGTAACAGTGGGATTCTGGGGTTTGGTCTTTGCTCCCAGCCTCTTGTTCCTGCAGTGCCAGCTGAAGAAAGCCCTTGCCCATCTCCCAGCCACAATGCCCAACTGAGCATAGCTTAGAATTAAGCACAGCTGAAATTTAAGTTGCACCTTATCTTGAAAGCCTTTTCCTTGACAGCTCCTTACTGAGCATGCTGCCCACTGCAGGTCATTAACTATTTACCACTTCTTTGTAGATCTCATCTGCTGCTGTTTTAGCATCTCAGCTTTAGGGTGTGCTAAGGATAAAGTGAAGACAGAATGGGTCTAAGGTAGATATTTTGTTAAGATACAGGCCACTCGAGGACAGATATTGAGGCACTTCTGGGAAGGGGATATGCAACACAAGTTGCCCTTTTGTAAGTATAGAGCTACTGCCTTTCCCTCTGCCAGCTACAAGAGATCCACTAAAGAGAGGTTGCATCCCACCTTTTAGGGTAGTTAGAACCTGCAGTGTAGGATTACTGCAATATACTTGAAGATGGGGGGGAAAACCCCTTCCATTTTCTAATTCACACCTCTGACAGAGCAGCCTGTCACTCAGGTATGGAGGAACACTGCCATCTGACCTTACCTGCCCTTTGGTGACTTCCACAGGGCCTGTCCCAGCTCTGACCACAGGACTCCAAATTCAGCAGAATTCAAGCCCACAACTGACCTTTTTAACTAATGGAGTGTTCCCAGAGGAAAGAGACTCACAATGTCCTGAACATGTGGTCAGTGGGGTGGGGGAGAAGAGGGTACAAATTCTTGCTGACTTGCCAAATCTAAAAGACCCTTAGAGGAAAAGAATATTCTAGAGGAAGGACCAAGCAAAAACATACAGTGCAGCTGATGCTCCATTAAATGTGGCAACACACCAGATACTCAAGTATTTTCACGGTCAGGCAAAAGACTTAACACAGTCACTTATTCCTTACTCCTGCTGCCACCTTCTCACTGCTGTGTGGAAGAAGATGCTTTGTATTTAATACCCTGCTGGGCTCCTTGTGCCAACAAGTTATGGACTTCTTCCCTAGCTAGCCTGGATTTATTCCTGTCCTCTACTGATCTCCCACACTAACACTGAAACAACTACATCCAGAGAAGAGTTAAAGTAAAACCAGTTCTGTCTGCACCCCCCTTGATACACAAATTATCCGGTGCCCACAGAATCCATCTCTGCTTTAGAGTAACCTGCTGTGTGGTGACAGCTGGGGATGTCCCAGATGTAGGCTCAGTGTCTTCAGTAAGGAGAGGATGTAGGTCAGGTTCAGAACAGCCCTTTTTCCCACAGAGAATGTTCCTGGAGAAGAACCCAAAGCCATCAGCAAAGCAGCAGAAGAGGGGCAGCCCTATCCTGACTGACCAGGCAGGAAAGCACAGCAATGAGACTACCAGGAAATGGCAAAGTCAATTCCACTTTGCAATATGATAAAGGGTTTTGTTTTTTTTCTGTTAAGGCCAAACTACTAAGTTTTGTATATGGAAAAAGAGCCATTAGTGATCAACAGTAAAGTCCAGAACTCCACAGCTCCCAAGTTCAGTCCACAGTGGCAGCACATATGTGACAACCTTTCTCTTAATATTCAACTTCACACACACAGAGTTCAAAATCCAGTAAGTTTTCTAGAAAATCCATTCTCACAAAAGCTTAACCAAAAATAATTCCTCAGAATCTGATACGCTCTGACTAACTTTCCAGCATCCTGGGATAGGAAAATGCAGCAAGAATATCCTAAAATAGAGAATATGCTAAAAATCTCTTCATTCTGAGATCCCTCAAGAAACAGGCTCATCAGGAGATGTACCCTAGATAAAGTTATTTAGAAATAAAAGTACCTTGTCTTTGTGCTTTGTGAAGAGTAAGATTCCTGTAAGCTCATGTTTCGGTTTCTACATTATCGCGAGTTCCCCTTCACCTCCCTCCAGCTGGTCTAAGCCACAGTGCCAGCACCAACCTTCAGAGATGCATCCATAGTTCTGCCTGGAAAGCCCAAGGTCTTGCCCACAGAGCTGCAGTGGACATGGACAGACACACAAACATGCTGAAAGAGGAAGGCTTGTAGCTGGATCTGACTAACGAGCATGGCAATACTTAAAACGTTTCTCTCCACACGCACTTGAAGAATTGTGACTGCAGGAAGAGGGGTTTCCTTTCTGCCAAAGTAACTTTTCTCAGCATTTGTGAACCTGTAAGTTTAGCTGATTACAGATTCACCGCTGCAAAAGAAATCGCACTGACCAGCGCTCCGGGTCAGGTCAGGAACAAGCAGATAGAGGAGATGTTTAATGCTCTTTTGCTCACTAGAA